TGACCAGATCAGAATAACTAACAAAAATACATTACCATTTACCTCACTCGCACGCCTCGTTTTGTTTTGTAGGACCACATTTTCTCACTTTTACCGAAAGTACATAGTTTCACGAGGGTAAAAAAAATCCTTAATCGACACTGAAGGATGAGACGTGTGGTTATTGTACAGAACAAATCAGCTTGAACGGTCTTCTTTTCTTGCTTCCTGATGAACTCCGCATTTATGGTTAGCTTTTTAAGGAGGTGATGAATGGTGACTGGCTGGCCTAATAGAAAAGGAAATTTACGTGCGCGAAAATTCCTATTCCGACGTGTGCTGAATTTTCATCCCTGTTGTTTTTGTAAGTAGCTCGACTATACGAAGAGTTCTGATAGTCTTGAGTGGTGTTGTTTCATAATTCAGATTTTTTATTATTGTCATTTGTATAAAGGATGTGATATGGAAAAAAATAAATAATTATTGCTATTTCTACATTTTTTGTTCCTAATAAGATCAGGCATGACTTTAAACTTTTGCATAATAATCTCTGGTGGGAACTTGGCTTACTACAAAACGATTTCGGGCTGTTCGACCGATAATCTTACTAGATAAGTATCACAAGAGAAGAAAATGTGAAGAATTGCTGTTTTTAGTTCAGAAATAAGCTGAAATTGATATATATTCACAATATTCATACTGAGTTTGTGGAAAACACTGGTCTTTGTTTTTCTGCTGGGTTTTTGAATATTTCAGTCAAGAAATCATCGACTGTACTTTAACCTGCAAATTTATATACACCTGACAGTCTGTGATAGTCTGACACAGACATGGAGATGTAAAAGAGTTGTGCCGAGCTCGGACTCCTGATACTCAAGATCGAGCCTTTGTCGAGCCCAACCGAAATACGAGCCTGAGCGCAACTCATTTATATATACTGACGAGTCGGACTATAGAAAATTACATAAAATGCCCCTGCAATATTTACAGAAGTAAATCCTCTATTTTTTTTGTCTGAATCATCCAAATTCAAGCACAAATTTGAAATTATTGTTTGTGATTAATTGCAATCTGATGGCATAGTTTCTTGTGTATATAATCACATAGATTGGTTTTTTTTTTTTTTTTAGCTACAAAATTGGTTGTGATAAAACACGAAAACTACTCTTAACTCGTATTTCGAAGAAGGTAAACAATCAGCTTTCAGAACACGTAATTCGAAGAGTCGTATGGTCTCTCATGCGACACGATTATACGACAATTAACCACTACAACACGTACAATGGATCGAAACCAGGTTACCTGGGCACCGATGGACTGTCTGGCTAGCATCGCGAGCGCTTGTGGGGCCCACGACGAGGCCCCTTTTTTCGTTGCAGTCTTCAGCGTTCTTGATCAGTTGATCAGCTGTTCTTGTCATTTTTCTCAACCAGCTCCTGGTTTATATGCCAAGCCTTTTGATGATTGGCAACAATAATTATAACTTCCCAAAAAAAAAAAAATATTAATAGTTATAGCTTTCACATAATCACATGTTCTTTTAATGGTTGGATAGATTGTCCTATCATGATTATTGTAAATGTTCATATGAACTCAGCGAGAGAGAGAGAATGAAGAACACGAAAAGGAAAGCTTCATTATCAGAAAGTGAAAAGTGGAGAATGAAAAGTTGAGTTACAATTAGGGTTAGGTACCCTGTTATATGGAGGACTAATGCTAAGGGTACAAATAATAAAACATAAAGTACAAGTAAACCTAACTACAATTAAACTAATGTATACAATTAAACCTAACTACATAAGATCTAAAAGCATACAAGTAAACCTAACTACATATAATCTATTTACCCCCGCAAGAGGAACATGTATATTTAGCATGTTCATCTTGGAAAGGTTTTGTTGAAACATCTGAACTCCCAATGGTTTTGTAAGCATGTCAGCAACTTGGTTTTGGGAAGAGATATGCTGTAAGGTGATGAGTCCTTTGGCCAACTTTTCCCTGGTTAAGTGGCAATCAATTTCTATGTGTTTGGTTCTTTCATGTTGGACTGGATTATGAGCAATGGCAATAGCTGATTTACTGTCTGAAAACAAGTCAACAGGATGAGCATGAATAATGTGTAAATCATGTAAAAGATAGA